CAGTGGGGGAAAATGCTTACATAAGACAGGGTATTTTCCAAACCTCATCTAACTCAAAAGCATCTTTCAGATTTGTGGTAATAAATGTTTCTAAGTGTAATTAGAGGCTGAGCCGATCTAATTAGGTTGATGAAATTTTCAATAGGGACTTAATTCCCCTTAGCATTTCACTCATTCTTTTTTTTTTTTTTTTTTTTTTTTTTTTTTTNTTTTCTCTCTCTCTCTGGAATACTTCCTTAGGCTTAATCCCAGCAGTTTTTATCGGCAGTATTCTAAATTATCTCACACAGGCAGTGTGATTGTAAATCTTCCAGCGGGTACATATGACTAAACACAAATTTCAGATAAAGGATTCTGGGTCATTGTATTCAACACACCGTCTTTTCCCACGTCTTCAGTTTCATTTCCTTACTAACAAACTATGTTAAATAACATTCACTCTGCAGGAGGGAAATAGGTGTTTCAGAGCATTCTTGGGGGCACAAAGAGACCAGGAAATGCATAATAATCGCAGGAGCAGGTTCTGAGGGGAGATTAATGAGGGAGTACCATGACCCTTCCTGACAGGCCAATGACTACAGAAACACTTCTGATGAAAATATTGGGATACAAACACATACATACTAGTGAGGTTTTCATCTATCTTTAAAGATTCTAAAAATATATTTAGTAAGCACCTGAGGAATTAACTGTGAGAATTTTCTACAGGAAAATGCTTTCCAAGCAGTCTAAGGTAAATGGGCAAGATGTTCTTAAATGGAATCTGAGCATCTCAGACACCATGATTTCTCCTTCTGCAAGGTTTTCCGACCCCCTCTCCTTTTGTAGCAGTCACTAAAAACTGCTTGTTAGAAAATTTAATTAAGTATAAAATGATCAAAAATTCTTAAGCAACATATATTTCAGCTTTTACTCAGTGTTATAAAAATGCAGAGAATATAAACAAGTATTTCTGTCAAAACATAGTGCTTTGGCAAAAATCAGATTTAAAAAACAATATTTTTGAAGACCTATTATCCTCTAAGAATTTCATAGATATGAACTGTCTATAACAGCAATTTATTATTTACAATTTTTCTTTTTTTTCTAATTCAAACTGTGAGTCATTTTTCAGTGAGCTCACACATTTTCCCAGGCTTTTTGATTTACTCGTGATGAAAATATAAATTATTTTTTAAAAACTACTTTGATCTCTATTTGAATTCCTGGCCATTCAGTATTTCTTGTGATTTTAAACAAAGCACCATATGAAGTTCAGATTAGGTTTTACCAAATTATTTTGAATTCATCTTATTTTACTTTGAAATTTGATAATCACATACACCAAAGTAACTTCCCTATCGAGGGTTAGTTATTCTGCGTGCAAACAAAGTCTCATTTCAAAGAGACATTATTAAATACCATGTAGGGAAAGACCTAAGTTGCTTCTAATAAATATGAGATTATAGGTTGTTTCAATATGTGGAGGAATTGCCTTTGTTTCTTTAATCTTTAAAGAATGAATGTGTAAATTTGTGAGAGTGGTATTTTTATACTTTGAGTGCCATTGCTTACAATGAAATAGAGCTGACCATTTAAATATTATATTTCCCTTGATAGGGTTCTGTGTTTTAATCCTGCTGGACCCCCCTCATTACTCTTGGTCAGATAACTTCTCTAGGTCTGTTTCCCCTAGAAGGAGAAGGAGGTTGAACTTAGAAAATGATTTCCAGGGTCCTTTCCATTCTAACTCTCCAAAATTTCTTCCATGATTTCAGACAAGATGTTATTAAAATCTCCTTCAAGACTGGTTATGCTAAGATGATTACATACTAGACTGAAAATACAAATGTTATGAGCCAATACATGAAGTCATAATTAAGGGTTTACACATGCAGTGTGCTATAAGCCAGGAAGTCCAAGCTAAAATTCAGAAAAATTTACATGGACTTTAAAATTAAGAGAGATTCTGTGAGAAGAAACATGGGTATATCCCTCTCTTTTCAATAACTTCACAAAGCTGACCTATTTGAAATAAGATGATTTAATGCAAAATCCATGATACTTTGTCACTATTTCATTTCAGAAGTAAGAAAAGCAGTGCCTTTTAAACAGATAATGGTTCAGGCAGATGGAAACTACGAACAATTACAAAGCCCTCCAAAATGCTGGGATTACAGGCGAGACCCACCACACCCAGAATTCTGCGAGGCCTAAGTGGGCAGATCACTTGAGTTTAGGAGTTCGAGACCAGCCTGCCCAACATATAGTGAAACCCTAACACTACTAAAAGTACAAAAATTTGCTGGTTGTGGTGGTGAGCTCCCGGAGTCCCAGCTACTTGGGAAGCTGAGGCAGGAGAAGCACTTGAACCTGGGAGGCAGAGGTTTCAGTGAACCGAGATCATGCCACTGCACTCCAGCCTGGGCAACAGAGCAAGACTCCCTCTATCAAAAATAAAAAAATAAAAAGCTCTTCTAAGCGAGGTATGTTTTGCTTTATAGACTAATTGTGCCTATATCCTTCCAAACTCTAGTGTGTCCGAAGAAATACAATAAAAACGATTACACAAGTCAAGAAAAAACTGACCACATTTCTTCAAACACATACACCAGATGTGGAAGACAGAGGTGAAAAGTGTCCAATCAATAAAGAAGTGTGAATTGTATCCGAACCCTATAGTGACAACAGCAAGAGTGAATACTCCTTTTATGAACTTATCAGCTGTGAACTAACATGTCACTTGGAAGACCACCTGACTTATTTTTTGATATTGTGTTTAAAAGATTAATATGAATACTAAGGTATATGGATTTATAAATAAGCATTAAAGATAATAATATGAAGCACAGTTTAATTTAAAACTGTCAGTTATTAAGACGATTAACTGCAGTTTTATACACACAAAAAAACCCCCTCATTTATGCAGAATTATCAGAAGATTATGTGTCTCAGTTGAACTCAGAGATTCACTACAGAAATCCTCATCTTTTTTTTTTTTTTTTTTTTTTTTCAGGATGCCCAAAATAGTTCTTTAGTTAGATTCCCATTTCTGCTAGAGATCCCTTGATTCTCCTTCCTTTTTCCAATCTAAGCAGGATTACCCTTCTCTACATAAAGCAGGACGCAGGGACTGATTATAGTTGGCCTGGTTCACAGTGAAAATGAGGAGGTTGGTATGAGTGATTGGGGATGTGGCTCTGCCCTCCACTTTCCCTCCCTAGAATGGAGTTTCAGCAATCTTCTAATAAAATCGAATCATTCTTTTACCATACCTGATACACTTTCTTTATCCCTGCATGTCTAAATTAGTCATTGTTTGAGATGCTCACAACCTTTCTGACTCTTTTGTGTTTCTCTTCTTGTCTTCTAGAGCTCTACTCATTTCACCCTCTTTTGAAATCCAATAATGGTGTTAAACAATTTAACACTTCATTCCTCACAGTCTATCATACATTCATAAAAGTTATTTTAGTTTGTAACAAATTTGAGAGTTTCTTCAATCTTTTAGGAACCTTAACAAACGTTTCTCTTGCAACAGAACTCTTAACTATGGTAGTTAAGAGCACAAAAGACACTGAAATCAGAAGTCAGACTTCCTCGATTAACCTTTAGACTTTAATGCTTGTTAATTGTGTCACTGTCCTCAAGAAACTTACCTGCTTCAAACTCCAGTTTTTTCATCATCTGAAACATGCAGATAACAAAATGCCTATATTGTGAGGATTCCTGTAAAACTCTTAGAATCGCACAAAATAACAGCTCTGGAAATATTTGTACTATAAGAATATTACTATTAGACTATTATCCTCTACAGGGCTCAACACAGGCCTGGATCATACTACATATTCGTAACCAGCAAAAGCAATTTTCCAAAAGGCAATGTATCACTCCTACTGCAAAGGCAAGGTTTGGGCTTTTAGAACTGTACCTTCTTATGTTAAAACATTTCATTTTTAAATCTCCCTTAGGAATATTCTATACGCATCCACATACTGGACAAATGAATCAACTGGTATGTTCATGTGAAGAGAAGACAGGGAAGGATAATTCAGTAGTATGTTTTTCCCTAACGCTTACCTGAATCAAGTTTATATGATTAAATTATTTTCTCTGGAATAAATCAAAGTACATCACTGCTTACCAACAATATCTATGGCTGTTAGTGAATTCAAAGTTATTTAACTTTGAATTTTAGAAATCTGTACCATTAAATAGTAGCCATACAATGTAAGAGGAACCGCTGGCTCCAGTAGCTACAGAAAATTAAATTGTGTCTGAATGAATTTTTTTAAAGGCAGTTTTTATGGATAATATTCATTAAAACTTGAAATTCAGGAACTTCTTGATCTTTCTCTCCCCAAACTCCAATAAATTCCAATTTTATACAAAGTTTCAGTAGACAATTACAGCTGAGAACAAGGAATGAAATCATTGATATCATTTAGTTTGATGATTTTGCTCAGAAAAATATCAAGTAAACTCACCAGATGACAAATGTAACAGTTTTACTTCCTCCAGAACATGTTGAAAATATGGGAACAAAATTTTTTCATTCAACAGACTTATTTCGCTTTTGTTTTGTTTTGAATTACATAGTCGTTCCTTCTCCTATAGCTTAAATTTTTCTTATTTTTTCCCTTAATACTCAAAAAAGTCATCACTGTATATAAAACACCTATGGCATTTAGGTAGAAATAAGCAAGTAAATCATTTATCTTAACTTTAGACCCAATATCTCTTTTGGTTTGACTTTCTTTTATAGTTAATATCAACTGTCCACACAAATCTCAAATGTAAATTACTTATAGACTAGTAAAGAAGAGGAACCTAATTCTTTCCTAATGATCTATGAGCTGTCTCCCCACCCCCAATCCTACATAAACAACATTAGAATACTGAATTTAAAGTTGTGCCATTTGACTGTGGAAACATCAGGTCTTCAGCAAAGGTGCTTTCAGTCTGGATCTGAAATGATGAGATTATGAATTAGGAATGATTCTGATGACAACGATATTTACCTCTTTGAGACAGCCCATAAAGTTGTTACTGACTGGTGACCCTGGAAGGTCGGCTGTGCTGGGACTGCCTCCAACATAGAAAAAGTCATCAGACCCCAGCATGGTATAATCTTCTTGCGTGTAGCCCGTTGTAGTAAGAATCCCATCCACTGATATTGTCACCTAGATAACAAAGCACAGGGAAAGGACACGCTATACTCAGACCTAGATACTGTAATCCTGGGATATGCCTGTTTTGTGTTTTGTTTTTGTTT